ACTCGCGACGACGGAGGGGTTGATACTGGCAGTTACAAAAAGGTTTTCATCTTTTTTTCTTTTTCTCCATCTTTGGTGAATAAAAAAATAAAAATAATAAAAAAAATAAAAAAAAAATAAAAAAATAAAAATAAAAACACATGGATTCTTGTTGGGAATGAGACAACTTTATAAGAATACCTTTTTTATTTCATAAGACGTGGAAAAATGGAGTCCACCATTGGTCGTGTAACTGAAATAAACTAAGTGTTTTCAAAGCTTCAATTATTGGTAGCCAACTATGGGGATAATCAGTTAGTTAGGCCCATTTATTTAATTATTAATTAGTAATTAAATTTTATTGGATGTCAATTCTTGGAACTCTTGATCATACTATCTTATTTTTAATTTATAATTCCACCTCCAATACATTTTTATTGGCCTTTAAAAAAGATAAAGTTAAGTAAGAATATATTCCAGTACAACTGTTGGAGAAATATTTTGTTTCGTATTATATGCTACTTTAAATTTTCAAAAATATATTAAGTACGTTCTTTCCTCTGAAGTAACACTTAATATTAGAAAAAAAAAACAAAGGCTAAAATTGAAAAGAAACGGAAGGAGTATTATTACATCACGAGGTACCATTTGAGAAGATAATTCTCATTTTTAATAATATTGCATAGTTTATCCAACTCTCATTTAGATAAGTAATTGAATCTATATTTATTTATCTAATGATCAATTAGTTATCCATACAATTATGCATTTAATTTTTTTTTATTTTTTTTTAGTAATTAGCAATGCCTCTCTAATTAACATAACAATTAATCACAACACGCAACAAGGGGAATGGAGAAGGGAAAAATCTCTACTAATAATAATGTATTTGGCAAAATGGTATGTCAGAAAATCATGCCATATATATATAAAATAATTGAATGCAATAATGCAGACGTGTCATCACGAGAGATAAACACTAATTCGACAACCTAAATAACACGTGTTTCCCCCTCGGAAACCGGTCCCCGCCTTGAGGGCCGAGCCCCCATTGGAGAAGGTGGTGCTTCCCTCTTCGGAACTGTAATAACTCCACACCATTAATTATTATTGTCAATTGCAAAATGTATACACATAAATTAACATACACTAATGCATGCATGCATGTGCATGTATGCATGCATGCATGCATGTGCATATTTAATGAATGGGGGTGGGGGGTGGGGGTGGGGGTGGTAGAAACATGTGGCCACATATGCCATTGCTATGGGGAACAAAAGAGTGAAGTGTATGTGGTATAGGGTCAATTATATTCAAACCTATCTGACATGTTTGAAAATTATAATTGATTAGTAGAATTCATGATATATATATATATATATATATATATATATATATAAAGAGGTAATAATTCCAATGTGTGCAGTGTATTTTCAATATAGTATATCTTATAATATTTTTTAAGTATCTTTTATATGGTTATAGATATTTTTAGGGAAAATT